AACAACTCGCGTTTTAAGTATTCAAGGTCAGCGGGCCATCGAGAGTTTGCCAGCGTCCAAGACAACAGGCGGCGGGCGCTGACCATGCCGCTTTGCAGCGATAAGAGTCCTGATAAGTGGGACAAAAACAGTGCGAGGCAGCTACCAAAATGTACATCGCTCTCTCGATAAGGCAAGCATCGGCTCCATGACAGCCACCGGTTGCCAACTAGCTAATTGCGATGAGTAACCGGTGGAGCCTATCTCAGTTATATGACTCGTTATCAAACAAATAAACAAATTCACCTTATTGGGACATTACATTTGAATACTAGAGCTACCCCAACCATAGCTATGGTGCGTGTGCATAAAAAAGAAATATTTAAATCTGATATGAAACACATGGATTATTTCAAATTATGTATGTCCTCCTAGTCTAGACGTTGTTTACTCAAATTCATAGGCATCCGATTATTGTTCACGCACCAACATATGCTCGAACGATACAGATTTCCTTGGTTTTAATGGAATCAAATCAACCAAGAAATTTAAAACAACAAATGTCGATATTAGAACACACTTTCCAAGTTCATATCACAAAAGTAAACTGATTTCTAGTACTGACGTAGTATTAAGGTTCATGTGCGGGTCGGAAATCGTACAACTGATAATCACCAACATCATTAAAGTGCAAGTGCAGTCAATCTAAAAGTAGAATCTCTGCTTCATAGCAAATTAAGTCTTATAATATGTAGCCCCTAATTTGCCTGTCTTGAATATATATTTTAAAAAAATTGTCGCTGAAGCGTAAAGGCGACGTGAAAGACCAAACTGGTTTTCTCATTGAATGTGTATGGGGACAAATCACTCTGTCACGTTCTGCTGATCAGCCCAATCACTCCTCACGCATCGAATTTTGTGTAATCCATTACACTAGTTTACACTCGTTTTAAGCTTAAATATTATAAAAATATAGGTTAGCTACATTGGGTGGCCCCAAATGGAGGTGGAAAATATCGAGTTTGGAACATTTATTATAAACTCGCAAGGAATTATAATGGGTGCAGATTCTTGATCAGAATTAATAGCTATCTCACTAAAACTTTGACAAAAATCCTCAGAATACGGTAGCACTGCAGCTTGGTTTCAATTTGTTTAGTGTTTGGTGCTTTACCCGCTGAGTTTTAATGATTTTTGGGTGTGCAACTAGAATAGGCTAGATTAAGATCTTGCTCCTGTGAGATCTGCTTTCTGATACGGAAAAATATACTAAATTCATGGAAAGCTGCCTTTTTAAGACATTCTAGTTAATCAATAAATTATTATATTGTATATAAATAAATTTGATTTTTGAATAAGTAGTTTAGAGCGTACAATTTTGAAAATATAATCATTTATCGACATTCTACGAATCATAATGGACCTTTATCATTAAATTTTTCATTAATCTCCACAAATCAACATTTGTTTAAGAAATATATTAAGTGTCGTAAAAACCAGCTTCACAAACACTTTTAATTAAAAAATAACTCAAGTGTTTTTTAAATGCGTAAATTTTGGCTAAACACAATAGTAAATGTTCGAGGATTAATGTTTAAAATTAGTCGACATTTCACTAGTTTTACCCTAGACTTAGATTAAATGATTTATATGACAATTCAATTTAATATTTTATAATTATATTCTAGGACTTTTAGCTATTGCCTTGGCTTTGAGAATATTAGCTTGCGGCTAGTTCCAATTGGAAATTTTACCATGTTTTTTTAACAAGAGTTTTTTTTTTTTTTTTGACAACAAGTCCCTAATACGCCTTTTTTGAGCTCACCCCATTTTTAATGGGATTGAGGACCTGGTATTTACTTGGTCACTGATGAAGGCACTCATTTGGTTCTCAGAGTCAGTCCTTTACTACTTGTCATAATGTCTTTGGAACTTCAAAAAAAACCTCTATTATCCTTGAGATATGGTAGCATTACCACCTTTTTTTGCAAACAAATCTGTCCATTATTTCGCCGGACCAACATCATGAAATGTAGCTCCATAAAATTAGAATACCACCTCCATGTTTCACAGTATTACATATTTATCGCTGATGACTCCGTGTTCAATAAATATTCGCAATTTCATTGGTAATCGTCCTGGAAGTTGGCCCTAGATGAAGACTTTCCAGATGCTCCCCTAGGTTGACCAACTGTTTCTAGGTTTAGGGGATTGGTTTTGAGATCGTTTCAATGTCATGGCAGGACAGTTTTTTTTTTTTGTTGGCATAACATTAAACAAAATTTTATTAACGTTGATCAACCAACCTAATGGCTATAAAACGTTGGCTATAAATATGAACAAAACAATAACATGGCACTTAACAGAAACGGAAACAAATTAACAAATTTTTAATGACAAGTGGAAAATGCTAGTTACTGCTTTAATACTCGCGAGATATGTCTTCCTCTTGTCCAGAGATCGGCGGGATGTATGGCAGGACAGTAAACATTAACTCTTAATATTACTATATCTCCAATTACATGGAAATATGTCGAATAACAACAGAGTACTTATAACTTTTGTTATAATCTTTTTCCAATCGTTTCTGACAGCTACAAGATAAAGTTCTACAATGCAAACCGTTCTATCCAACTACCTTTATTGTAAACAAGATTATTTTAAATGTTTCTTTTATATAGCTCTACAACTGAGAGATGAAAATCGGCAGTCGCTGTTTTCTTTATTGCGTTGAAAGCTTCTGACTTAAATTACAATATCCCCAAGGGTATACAAATCTGATTTCTGATTTAAACTGCCTGAAAACTCACTCCCCCTATTCCGCTATAAAGAGATACATATTACTATATACATTAGAAAAATTAAATTTAATACAATACAACCTAACGATTTGACACTAACCACGAGAGCAAAATCGCCATGAAGGCAATGCTGGACGCGCATGTCGGGTAGCTGGACAAGAAGAGGCCGTGCTTGTAGTAAAAGTGCGAGACGGAGGCAGGCAATCCGGCCGGTGAGGACGACGCAGTGCCAGCACCTGAGCCAATCCCCGACGAAGAGACAGCGGTGGGCGGCTTGACGGCAAGACCGCTTCCGTTGGATGCTGCTGCTGCTGCCGTGCGCGGTGACGTCGACGCTGCTGCCGCGGCCGCCCTGGCAGAGCCATCTGTTGCGGCGGCCATGATGTTCGCAGAGTTTACACCAAAACAAACACACACGCACACGACTCGGCGCACGGGAAGAGGCTGGCCACTCGCAAACACTTACACGCCTGGCCTAGGGAGGAGACAAAGAACAACAACGGAGACGTACACGGGGATCAAGACTCTGACCACGAACTTTGTTCTCGCGCGAAATACAAGTTAGTTTTGTTGGTGGCAAATTACGCAACTTCGCATTTGCAACGCATCACCTGCGTAGGCGACGCCACTGCCGCCCGGAGTGCGGTATTATTTTTATTTATTAATAGCGTTGATTCGCTGACGCCCGGTGCTGGTGGCTTCACTTTGCGGTTGGGCTGTGATCTGTCGCTGGGAGCCCCACTGTATCGATACATTTTCCTTCGCGCTCCCTCAATACCCGCCGATTTGCATTACTATTCCGATTTTGATTCCTAATTTCTATTGATTTTTCTTTTTCTTGCGCTTCATTCGCACCTTTGGCCCCTACGTTATTTGCGGCGTGTGTTTGTGGTTGTCTTTGCCACCGTCGCGTCGTACTTGTTGTTGCAATTAATTGACGTTTTCGCGCATCTTCAGTGCTCACACACACTTTCACACATAGGGGTTATTCTGATTAAAACGCCACTGCCACCGGCGCTCTTTCAATTAAAATAAAATTCTGCCCGGCCGCCGCGTATTGTTATCAAATTATGGCAATCGAAAGCCAAGAAATGACTACTTCACCGCATCGAGAACTTTTATAGTGCAGCTTTTTTGCATATCGCTCTCGGCTGCGACGTTTGAAAAAGGAACGAACTGCCGGCTATATACACATCACTGGGCGGTCGAAAGGCGACAAGTAGTCTTCCGCCGGTTAAATATGTAACTTTAATTTGCACTAAACACGTTTTTTTCCATCAAGCAATTGCTGCGCGGCGTCAGAACAAAATGCTCGTTCGTAGTGACTCAACGACGGCACCCTGTTGGCTCGCACGCGAACTAGTTCGCGGCGAAACCTAAACATTGGACAGCTGATAGGCAGTGGTGAGGGCGTGAGCAAACTAATTAGCTTTTGGCCCAGCAATCGCAACATATTTTTCTATGCTGCGGCTGTTCATTAATACCAAGCTTATGCTATTAAAAACATGAATCCAAATAAGGCCATTTTAAGGAGAAGTAAAAAATATGTAATTAAGCCCTAAAAGTGTGCTCTCGCTCAATCTGGCAACGCCATTTGTGTTTCTAGTATTTTGTTCACTAGTCTCCGTACAACCCGTATAACAGCGCTCATGAACAGGCATTCTAGACTAATTGCCTCTCACTCTCCCTCGCCGTGCACTTAATATCAACAGAGATAAACAGGGTATTCCCTTGACGACTGAATTACTAAAAATATCGGTAGCTGAAAACAGCTGTTCCCACACAAATGGCTTATACGATATTTTCAGTATTTCAGCGATCCCGAGGCTGCTCAAAATATCGACTGAATAACTGAAAAGCCAGTGTGGCTAAAAAGGTGTATAAATCAACCTTTTGAACTGCTAAATAAAAGGTTCAGTAATTTAAAATAATTAAAGATTATATAGAATAATACAAAACGTATATCAATGTCTTGCGACTGAGTTTTGCTTGAAAATTTAGCGTGTGACGTTTCCTTGAATCAGCTGATAAAGTTGCCGATATTTTTAGTAATTCAGTTAAAATAAAATAAACAAAGTAAGTGAAATCAAAGGAACCTGATTCAAATTCAAAAGGCAAGGGCGCATTGGCAAATATCTCCGGGCGCGTCGGTCACTCTGGGCCGCACCGGAGCCCTATATAAGGCGAGCTCCAGCCCTTGGGAATTATTCAGTTTTCGGCCGGCGATCGGTCAAGTCCTCCAACGGAGCAGTGGTAAGCAAGCAGCAAGGAGCCATCATCAGAGGAAGCGCCGAGATAAGTTAGACATCCTGGTAAAGTGGTAATACATAGTCGGTCCCCGGCCATATCTTACGTCTATAACTTGTGGAAGACCTTAGGGCTTCTGTATAAGTCTCGATATATTAGTAGACCTTAGGGCCTCTATTTACGTCTCAATATTGGAAGACCTAAGGGCCTCCTTATAAGTCTATATAGCGCGGTAGACCTTAGGGCCTCCGTGCACGTCTCAATCTTAGAAGACCTTAGGGCCTCTACAAACTTCTCCATCTTAGAAGACCTTAGGGCCTCTAACAACTTCTCTCTTTTAGAAGACCTTAGGGCCTCTACAAACTTCTCAATCTTAGAAGACCTTAGGGCCTCTAACAACTTCTCTATTCTTTAGAAGACCTTAGGGCCTCTACACACATCTCTTTTAGAAGACCTTAGGGCCTCTAACAACTTCTCTCTTTTAGAAGACCTTAGGGCCTCTACAAACTTCTCAATCTTAGAAGACCTTAGGGCCTCTACAAACTTCTCAATCTTAGAAGACCTTAGGGCCTCTACAAACTTCTCAATCTTAGAAGACCTTAGGGCCTCTAACAACTTCTCTCTTTTAGAAGACCTTAGGGCCTCTACAAACTTCTCAATCTTAGAAGACCTTAGGGCCTCTAACAACTTCTCTATTCTTTAGAAGACCTTAGGGCCTCTACACACATCTCTTTTAGAAGACCTTAGGGCCTCTATAACTTATCCATTGTTAGAAGACCTTAGGGCCTCCCCACACTTCTCGCTATTGGAAGACCTTAGGGCCTCCACAACCTTCTCGCCATTGGAAGACCTTAGGGCCTCCACCCACTTCTCATTAACTGGAAGATCTCAGGGTCTCCGCTAACTGGAAGATCTCGGGGTCTCCGCTAACTGGTAGACCTCAGGGCCTCCACCCACTTTCTCGCCTAGGGATCCCTGTCCAAGAGTTCGGATTAGACACTTCGGGGAAAAGCGAAGAGTTAAGACGATTACTGACAGCGTTTGCCAAGGGAACGGATCTTACAAATGAGGTCAGACAGCAACTCGCCGTACAAGAGGTACAAGAGAGACAGAAGCCCGGCAAAAGATATAATACCGGAAATCGTAGTATTTGGGGAAGAAGAGCAGAGACAGCAACTCGCCGGATCAACGGTGAGATATAGGAGGGACAGAAGCCCGGCAGAGATAAGACCGAAAATCTCAGGAGTCGGAGAAGAGGAGCAGAGCAGAGAGGAAGAACCGACAACAAGGGCAAAAGCTAGGATCAGAGCAGCGAAAAAGGAGAAAAACAGCAAAAGGGAAGGAGAAAGAAATAGAAAAGTGGAATGGAGAATGGAAACAGAAGTGGTTGACCGAGTACGAAGCTGGGGCATCCGATACCAAGGAACGACGAACCCACTGGAATTCTTAAGCAAAATGGAGCAGTGGGCATCCGGATACGGTATCCAGGAGAACCAGCTAATTCAGACCATGCCGTACATATTGGAAGGAGCCGCCGAAGACTGGTGGAACACCACGCCAACCAAAATTAGTACATGGAAGCAATTAACGGCAGAACTGCTAGAGTACTTCCTGCCTCCAAGATATGAGAAACGACTGGAGACACAGATCACACAGCTTAAACAGCGGGAATCAGAACCAGTTAGGGAATACGCGATGGGACTAAGGAAGCTGATGCGATTCACGAAACTGTCAGAAGAGGAAAAACTCGACCGCATATTTACCAACTGTAGAAGCAAGATCAAGCTCTACACGCGGAGATCAGGATTTAGGTCGCTGACAGAGTTCCTCAAACTAGCAGAGGAAGTGGAGGAGATTGAAGCAGCAGAGAACCAGAGACGACACAACCAGCCAACACAGCAGCAAATACGACCGGAAATTTGTATGCGATGCGGCACGCAAATGCGGCAATCTACAAAGGTTATATTGCTGGGTCTGTGGAAAGAACGACATCAGAACAACGGAGTGTTGCAGAGCGGTACCGGGAAACGCAGGAGGCCTGAGCAGATAAAGCTGGCAGCTCAGGCGGCAAGACTAGAGCCAGCACCAGGAAAGCAACTAAGCTGCGACGGGTACCAAATAATAGCACGAATCGGGATTGGAAAAAGAACGGCAAAGGGAGTGGTAGACACCGGAGCATCACGAAGCGTTATAAGTATGAATCGGTACCAGAACCTCAGAAAACAAGGCAGCTGGAGCGGAACCCGGGCCGAAATGATAATGGCCAATGGATCATGCCAGAGGACTGTGGGAATGTTCACAGCGGATATCCGATTCGGGGGACAAACATTCAGCCTGACCTTCCTGATACTGAAGAAGGTCGCAGGCGGTATCTTGTTAGGAATGGACTTTCTGGCCGGAGCACACAGCCTACTACGGTGCGGGAAATTGGAATTGGAAATAATAACAACCGCGGGGGACAGGGAAAGCGAGGAGGACCATGCAGCCAGGGGGACCAAGAACGAGAGACAAGAACCATCAGAGGCAAAAATACAAGCGTTCCTGGACAGTCAAAGGATCGAAAATGCATCGATTTCAGAACAGCGTGCAGAAATTTCGACATCGCCACGCAAACATCACAGCGTCGGCAAGGACGGCAAAGGTAATCGAGGCGACGGCAATGGCTGGAGGCACGAGGAAAAGGACGGCACCGGCGAAAATGGGCATTGCGACGATGCAGGAAGAGAGGCCGGAGATGCCTGCCGGGAAGAAACGGATCGCACACACGCCGCGGACACGAGAAACGGGCACCGAGGCTCGCCAGCAGTCTCCAGTATCGACATCACGCCGCCAGTCACCGACACGTGCGGCACAACCATCGTGCGCAGCCGCCAAAGCGCGCAAGCTTCTGTCATCGCACACGCAGACGACACGAAGACAGCCATTGGACTCGGCCAGCCCAGCTCGCCAGCAGTCACCACCACGCAGCAGCCACCAACATCCGCCAGCAGCTCTAGTCTGCCAGCAGTCACCACCACGCAGCAGCCGTCAACATCTGTGCGCATACGACAGCAGTCGGAGACTCGGCAACGCATGCGCCCACACCCACAAGGGAGACCAGCTACATCGCCCGCCCGGGATATTATAGAAATACACTCGGACGAAGTCAACAACTGGGGCTGGAGGATCCCAGCGGGAGCGCATTTTTCGGCGGAAGCCGTGGAGGAGATCCGCAGACGACTCGCGCAGAAAAAATACGGCCGGCAGCAAGCTTGGGTCATGCAGGATGGAACGGCAACTTGGCGCGTCGTGGTCTCAAGGGCGAATAAGGTCACGCTGATGGAACATAGCGCCTCTTAAACGAGTATTGGGGGGGGGGTTCGCGTAACGCGCACAATAAATAAATACAAATAACGCAGATTAACCCAAACTTCTCAAAACTCTTTGTACTATCCGGAACAATAAACATCTAGATCCAAGTATAACCCAACTTTCAGCCTTATCATCTGGGACAGGGTCGGGAACTTTCCTTGCAGCAGCCACCTCAGACAACAAATAAATTTCTGAGACGAACCTTGGCCATCCTTGAGCCACCGGAATGACAAACCGTCGCAACATGCATATGTATTACAAATTTCAAATCTGTTATATTGTTACTTATACGATTTAAAAATAATGTTTCTGAAAGTTTTAAAACCAAATAATGTGTATATGGTAGGTGTAAAATTATATCCTTTATATATCTCCAATTAGTTTTGGATCGATTGTTAATAATACAATTGAAAACTTTAAGGGTATACAAACTTCGGCGTGCCACAGTTTGCGTCTTTTCTTGTTTTATATTAATATTCCAATCGTTTCCATAACAACTAGATACCCATGTATACCTGTAACAGATAGAAGACTATCTAAGATTCAATCACATATAGCTCAAAAGCTAAGAAACTAAGAGGCAGTTTTTTGGTGTTGTTGTAAATTTCTGCTAAAATCTTCTGCAAAGGAATACAAATCATGTACATTTTTTCAAATACTGAAATCCAGAATTTGATGTTTTGCGAGTTTGTAACCGTAAGAGCAAAGACATTTCACTTTGAATTTGACAATTTATTATTTCATCACTATTATCTTACAACTATCGAAATGTACACTATTGTAATTTATTGCTGTTTCGTAACTTTGGACATGACACAATAGTAAGAGCCGCAGGTGTCCACTAAACAAATCCATACATAAAATATGTAGCTTTTAGAACGCGTATAAGTTTCAGATAGAAGTATAACCTCGATGAGCATACAAATTAGCCTTAATTGTTATTATTTATGTATGTATGTACATGTCTTTGGTATAAGACATTCACCTTTCAAATACTTGGTATTTCAGAACTAGCTGTAAAGCATAGACCCATGTGTAACTAAACGCATTTCGTGAATTGACAGGCATAATAGACGCTGTACGCATTCTAGAACCCTCTGGCTGGCCCTATACTAGTCTATCTTAGTTGTGGGCATTGTATACTCCGCCGTCATAGCCGCAATGTCTCCCACGTCATGTTGATGAACTCCTCCCGCCGCAGCCGTCGCCTGGGTGTTGTACCGGTGCCGGATCAGCGCCTCCGTAGCCTCCTTTTGAGTGGCGTACTCTGGCGCAGAGAGCTGGTGATATTGAGGCGCGTCGTTCCCCGTTTCTGTCATGCCGCCTGAACCATTTAGGGCGGCGCTGTTTCGACTCCCGCGCCCGAAAAGCAGCACTGTGCCCTTGCTTAGCAGAGGACAGAGCAATGCTTGGTGGCAACAGGCAAACAGCCGGTAATTAGGACCCTGGAATGGATCTGACATTGCAGCGCAAAGCATGTGGTCCAGATTAATTCCTGTAAACTGAAGAGGAAAATATTACTAGTATAAGTGTCTAAATGTAGTGGCCAAAAGTGTGCTAAGAATTGTACACATTCATATTTCTTAAATAAACTTTTACAATGGATACCTATAATACTTTCTAGTCTGCTTTCAAATAAATGGCGATTTCTGATGCGATTTTACTTTAGAACTTTTTCTAATTCACTACTAAGTATTCTTCAATAGTTTTGTAACACTTCTACCTACAATGGAGAGCGGGGATAGCAGAACGAAGTGGTAGAACAGCATAAAGGCTGTGCCTATGTGGGACCAATGGAGTTCACCCAAGTCCTCAACAGTGTAAGCGCCTGCAAGAAGTGGAAGGGTAAAATTTAAAACTAAGAGTCGTGGTGGTTACTGTGGTAGTTACCGCTTCGGATAATGTAGATCGGAATTATATAGAGAAGTGCATGCTGAATCCAGTAAGTTGCCTGCTCAAATGGATAGGTACGACCCTCCACTTCCGGGAAGACGAAGGCAAGAAAAGGTCCATTCAGGTTGCTCATTTGAATTCGAAACAGTGCTGTCGTCATCTTAGTTGGCTTGGCAGCCAGGAGATAAATCTATAAAAAGCATATGTTAATTGTTTTGCAAAACAAATGAAAAACATCTCACCTGCAAACACGTTTGCACGTGGCAGGGATTCAGGGCGAAAATCATCGATTGGCCTGAAAGCTTGAAACCCATTTCAATGCCGAAAATAATGGACATGGCGATTAATAGAAACAGCCTGGTGGGGCTGTGGGGCTTCTGTATCTCATGGAGCGGTGGGAGCTTGATCGGCGCAAGTCTCTGCCACGAGCGGTGCATTATGAAAATGAATAGGGCCGACAGCAAAACCGTCTCTATCCATCGCCGCCTATCGGTCATGTAATTGATGCACTCCGGTCCCGTCGTCCTTGGAATCTCATCAGTGATACCTTTGATTGCCCATTCCCAGTCCCAGCCCATTTTCTGCAGGTAAAATAAGGCTCCAGTGGTTCTCCGATCAAAATTTGAAGTTTTAATTCTAAAAAGAAAAGTGATGGGAAAACAGTGAGTTATTTATTAGCACATTTATTGACCCGGTACCACCCCTGTCCTATAGTTTCCATTAAAAATTAACCGTATTGCGTGCCCCAGTCAATACATATCGAGACAAGGGTACATACACATACATATATATGTACCTATATATTGTCATGGCGTGGGGTCTTGAGGTCCTCGACAATTTTACCAGGGAATAGAAAAAACTTGTGACCACTACAAACTGCGAAAGTTTTCAAAAGAAAATCAATTGAGCCGGGTAAACTAACCAAAGACAAAACATAACACAGGATTGCCTTAATCAAATCCTTATTCTTATAATATAAGTTAGTGGAAACCTGTTAGTAACCTACATACATATAAAAATAGCTCCATATGTATATACTTACATTACAACTAACGGTAAAAACAAGTCTACAAAGTCTTTCAATAGCTCATAGACTCAGACCCCTGAAGAGTTCTTCAATGGTTTGTTGGAATGGAATTGGAATGTTTGTGGAAACTATATTAGCCAAAACTGAATTCCGGGTGCAATTCTAAATTAGATCCTTGTTATCATACTGTACACATGTAAAGGAAATAAAAAACAAATCCACATTGCGAATGCCTTTTCCGCCTTTGTTTTTTCTTTATTCCCTTTGCGACAGGTGTGTTTGGGCCTGGTTAACCAAGTGGAAAGAGTGAGGACACGGAGGGCTGTTTCCTTAGATGCCAGATTGAAACAGCCAACCCAATTGAACGCTGGGCAGCCGGCGAAGAGCGACAGACACATAAAATCGTGTCGGCGTTGACAGTTGCCGCAGCTGTCCGTTGGCCGCCTGCCAAAGGCCAAAACACAAAAGCTGAAATGCGAAGGCCGAGACTTCTGCCTGACTTCTGTGAGTGTGTGTGAGCATGTCGGGCCTCTTGTATTTTTAGCCAGTCATGCATTTAAAGCACACTTTTGAGCGCTGGTCAGTCAACAAACTTTGATGGATGTCGGATCAGGCCACGTATTGGGCCTAAACGGGGCATACCGCACTGGAGGGAAGGGGACAGCGCTCTCATTGGTATTTTCAGTGTCAAGAGCACGAGAACAGCCTGACCGCGTGAGTGGGAGAGCTAAAGCCCACGCAAGCGGGAGCATAAAAGCTTCGAGCGAAAAATAACAACTCAGACAGACGTAAGGCGCTTATTAAACTAAGGTATGGCTGATTTGTTTTTCGTTGTTTTCCGCTCTTCCTCTTTCCCACCCTCTTCCGGTAACACATTTCCTAGCACCCACATTTCGCCTCCACAAACTGCGACTACGGCAAAGTCTGGCGACACTTGGAATTCGATTTTTCCATCTGTCAGCGATACCTATTGGTCCTTCGTCTGGAGCAGGCCACGTGGTCTGGGCTGAACCTCTCCGTATGTGCCTGACTCAGTGAATAACCGACGCGCTGTCAACTTTACCGACCGAAAACCGTAACTACAGTAAATTCACTTGTCGTTTTTCGCTCAATTACATTTCGCCTGCATATCTGCATTTGCAATGCAAATTGCGGGCGAGAAAAATTAGCGACGAAAAGCGCGACGTTGGTGCTGGGCGAATGGCTGCCGACGACTACCACTGTGTTCCGTTACCCCGTTGTCCTTGCAGAACTTTCTCTCGCAGTGCGAGCTTCGCTAAGCTTTTACTCTCTCGGACTTGAATTGGGCGCCAAAATGTTTACACATGCCGGTTGTTTCGGTCGGACAACGAACACAAATAATTTTCATAAGCGCAGTTACACATACATACGTACACAAAAGCATACATATTCGACCACATGTGTACATACATATATGAAAATCTATATATTTATGTACATATATGTATGTAAGGTATGCACTCGGACCACGGGCGTTTGCAAATTGGATTAGCGGTGGGCGATGGAAGAGGGCGGATGGCCCAGAAATGAGAAGCACTCGGTGACGCCACAGTTTGCAGTCATTGTATGTTATTTTTGAACTAATCAACAAGAAATGATGATGGATAAGTAAGTACTAATTTAGTCTCTGTATAAAGTTTTATAATCAGAGGTTCTCCATCCGTTTAGAGTCATTTCGGTTCTTATAAATACATAGTATGTATGTATATGTCTGTGTATGTATGTACATATATATGTACATATATTCTTGATCAGTAAACAGCAGAGTCGATCTAGACATGTCCTTCGCAAACTATTCTGAGCTTTAGAGATACATATGTTTGTATCTCAATGAAGCTTGGCAGATAGTCCTTTTGTAATTGAATATGAATGTGCATTGGGTATCAAAATATAGTATATAGTTTAGGGCAAATTTCAACTTGATATCTTACGAATGCTTTAAATAAAATATTATATTATTTAATTTTATCAAAAATGCCTTTTCAAAAATATTTGGACTGACAAGGAATATTCCGTCAAAACAAAAAATGCAAAAGCAAAATAATTTACCTTTACATATGTAAGTGGCAATATTTCGTTGGAAGAGCTAGAAATTATTATTCAATTACCTAAATGGCATTATCAAAAGACGAAAAAATTGCAAGTTTTCTTGCGGACTTCCGTTTGTTGAAGACTCGAATAGTACAGCAGGGTTTTATGCAACACTTGGAAGTGAATAAGCCCATCCAAAATATGCCTAAACCAATGCATTCACGCCAAAACAGTATAAAAATGCTCGTTTTCCTATTTGTATTAGCTTTAGTACTGTATTGTTAGTATTACAATCCACTACAAAGAGAATGGTTGAGTTAATTTGACTAAAGGATGTTGTGTTAGTTTCCTAATGATAATGGCGTTTATAATATTCGAGTTGTGTGGGCATGTGTTTCCTTGTCTAAAAAATGTTTTTGTGGTCATTTATATTCGTTCAAGATGTCTCAAATATATGCCTATAGGCTTGCTTCGATCTTTGACGACTTTAATGCACTTCGTATCATTAAAACTCCAAAACCTACAACTATGTGACGTCCTTGCATGTCCATTTAGTATAAAGAATCATTTTTATACGCGGTACCCTAAGGAAAAATAAGTATATGTACATATGTATGTACAGTTAATAACATTGGTATTCGATTTTATTATTTTTTCAACTTCAAACGCGAATAAAATGTATAATACATTTTTTAAAATGTAAACAAGAAACATATATTAACAAAAGAGACCATGAAATGCGTTACATTAAGGGGGTCTTCTCATTCAAAGGCCGTTTTTTGGACCCTTTTTAAAAAAATTCTTATTTGAAAACGCAAAGAATAATTGAAAACTTTTTTATTTATTGTACTCAACAATGTTCAAAGTAACTAAAAAAATTGTGTTTGCCTCGATACGAGGGTTGTTCAAAGAGTAATGAGACTTCAAACTTGGTGGTGGAAAAAAAAGGTGTCGTCCTGGCGGCCACGATTCAGGGTCTCCAGAGCGTCCGAAATGAAAATAAACGGGGTTATAATCAGAATAGATGTCATTTTCGGGTGACGGAACAGATGTTTTTTTTAATTTTTTTTAAACAAAATGCCGGTCATTCAAAAAAAAAATTCGATTTCGGCCTCTTTCTTGTAGTTTAGTGTAAAAAAAAATATACAAAAATTTTTTTTTTTAAATCTGTTCCGTCACCCGAGAATGGTGACAATTCTGCGTCGATTCCACTTTGTTTAATGAAAATCGGTTCAGTTGAACTGGAGATATCATGGCCGCCAGTTCGAAAACGTGGTTTCGAGATAAACGCGTTTGAAGTTTAAAAAAAGCTCATTTTGCAAAGAACTTGCTTCACAAAAAAGGCTGTATCTTCTAAAGTATTTCGAATTTCTAAAAATCCTTTTGGGGATATATACACAACTATAAATAAATGTAAAAAAAAAAAAAAATTGAAAAAAAAAGTTGCCCAATGAGAAGACCCCCTTAAGTCGAAGTCGAATTAAAAACAAATGGCCAAATTGTTTACAGCAAACAATCATTAAAAATTCAAATATTACAGTTAAATTTTGAAAAGGGACGCAAAAGTATAAATTTAACTTCGGAGCAGTCAAACTTGTCCTTCAGTAACATTTGGAGGCCAAGAAATACAAGTTTCCTTGCAAGGATGATGGAGATGAAGACAAAAACGCTCGGTGACATCGTCCAATGATTTAAAAAGTAAGGTATGTATAAAGCAAAAGGAACAACCTGAAAAATTCTCTAATTGCAAAATAGCCAAAAAAAGTCCTGAAAATTAAAAAAAAAAAAAAAAAAAAAATCAACGTTTCATCGCAAAATATTTGGCGTAAAAGTGTACCAAAAAATTTGTAAAGAAAATTTGAAGCGGACGAAATCGGCATTGGAAACACAAAGTTGTAAAACACAAGGCCCATAAAGTCAAGCCCTGGTTGCTTTACAACTGTACAAAAGTTTTGGAAACGCTCCTCCCATCGCCTGATCTCAATACAGTTATGATTTTGTGGAGTAAGTTGGACCGCTGTTTCGAAAAATCGCCGATATCTTTATACCCTTGCAGGGTATTATAATTTCAGTCAGAAGTTTGTAACGCAGTGAAGGAGACGTTTCCGACCCTATAAAGTACATATATTCTTGATCAGCATCAACAGCCGAGTCGATCTAGCCATGTCCGTCTGTCCGTTTCTACGCAAACTAGTCCCTCAGTTTTAAAGCTAGCCTTTTATACACTCTCACCGCTATATATGTATATCATATAGCTGCAATACAAATGTTCGATAAATATTTGGAAAAAAAATATAACTTGGCTGTTTTTCAACATTTTTGCATCATAGTTGCCATAGGAACGATCGTGAAATAAATAGGAAAAAAATTATAACTTTTAGCCAGGGTTATTATTATAATTATTAATACAGTACCTTACAAGATTTTGCTAAAAAGAATATTAAAATTGAACACAAAACTAACTTTAATTCCTTAAACGGCTCTTAACATGTACGTCTTTATTTATTTGTTTTTTTTTTTTTTTGTTTGCATTGTTTTTTGCACATGATAATGCATGTGCCAGGGCTTTTTCTGGCAGACCCTGATTCTCCAACATACTTATGCTATCTGTAAAAAAAATAATCAAATTATCAAATTGAATATCTGCAAAATATTGCACAAAAATACATACGGATTAAAACCGAAAAAAATTTCGGAAATGTCTTGAGTGACTTTTTCCCATTCACGCCATCTATGTTGAAGTCGCAAAGAATTTCTTCTGCCAACACATTTTTAAGTGATTTGGGAAGAGTTCTGTACTTCAGTATATCAGTTATGGTTTGAATCTATAAGAGACAACAATAAATTGCACGGGCTATCGCATCTTCGATATTAATTTTTTACTTACGTAGGCTTTTTTTGTGGTTGGGCTTATGTTCAACTCTAATGCTGCCAGACCCTCTTCATTTAGGATTGGAAACGACACATCGACTGCAACATCTTTTGTTTTCCCCTTGAGGAAAAGTTGTAGCAAGGCCGTCAGCTTCGACACCTGGCGGGTACTTTCTGCCAACTCTCTTGTATTCGCTTCTAAAATTTTGTTGTTGGCCTCAAGCTTCTCCTCCAAAGCTCGGACCCTCCTCGTCAGCTCAATCACCTGATCCTTCGGTTGGGTTCCTTGTGCCGGGTTCAAGGTATATTCCGGTTCTGCGGGAGCTTCCAACAGATAGTCATCTAATACCAAAAATTTTTATTGAAATAACAATTAAATATATTTGATATAATTCAATTTACTTACGATCGACACTACAAAATAGCTCCAAAGATTCATTGTTCTCTATTTTGCCAGGGCCTGCTTCTGCTTCTGCCTTTTCGTCCTCGAATTCCATATAATCAGGCCTTTTCAAAGCACAACGTCTTAATAGATCCTTCCTTTTTTTCGCTGCTAATTTTCCTATATATTTTGAGCCAACCATTTGCTGTCTTTCCTAATTAGTTAGAGCTTATGTCAGAATATTTCTACACAGCGAATGGTTATACACCATTATATGGGCATTTCCATAATGTCGCACGCGACATTCGTACGCCTTCAAATCAAAAAAAAAGTATGGTACATTTAATTTTTTTTATTTTTATAAATGTTAACTTATAGCTCTTGCTTAGGACTATAATTGGTGCAAATGTTGATTTTGAGAGTTTGCTCAATTTAAAGAAAATTAAAAAAAACTGAAAGATTCGCACGCGACAAAAACAGAAGTCACTTTCGCGGCGAGCTGTTTAAACACTGATTTCAACGAAACGGCAGGGACTATTTTAATGAAACAAATTTTAAAATATGATGCAATAATGTCACTTTCATATGCTTTAATTTACAAGCAAAAATATAGCGTAGTTTATTTTTTACTTAATTTTAATCATATTCGCACGCGACATGTCGCACGCGACATATTTTTTCATCATACTTTGCATGTAATTTTTACTATTATAACTAAATTGGAAGAGCATATATCTATTTTATTTCGACTTTTTGCATTCTTCTAGGGATGTTAGTAAACAACAGTCAAAGCATAATGCCTCGGTTTGGATGTAATTAACAAAAGAAAACAGGTCCATTTTTATGATGTTTTTCATCAAAATAATGAAAAATCGTGTTTGCGCGAATATGCATTCGAATATTTCGAAATTTGTTTTAGAATATGATATAGCCCTTCAAATTTAATCAATTGGCCTTTTCCTTATGTTACTATGTTGGAAAAAAAAATTTTTAGAGAAGTTTTAGTGTTTTGGCCGCGGTTGACCTTTCTGTGGAAATGCCCATATATTATATGTGCGAACGGCATTACACAGGCGGAGACCTTTTTGGAACCAAAATCTTTATACATTACTTTTCCGAAGTATTTGAATGCGCTAAAATCGAGTCTGTCCTTAAAAAATTTCCAATACGTAAGGTTTTACAGATATTTCAACCTAAAAGTGAAAATTTCGTTTTTGGGTACTTTTGAGATCCTCGAACCTCTGTAACAGAGTAGATGTAAATATGTTAAAAACAGCGAATTTTTTATTTTGTTTCTCTTAATTACGCGATTGATACGAGCACCTATGTACATACACTTATGGACAAAATAATAGGTGTGAGATTTTTTTCTTTGTTAACGTTTAATTTCTAATTTATTTCTTTATAAATCTTAACAAATCAAGTTTTTTTCATAACTCGTAATATTTGTCTACATTTACAAACTAAAAACAGCTATACAAACTCCCTAATAAAAAAAAAAACCATTTTATAGTTAAATTCACAAATTTTGCCTGGACAAAATAATAGGTGTAGGATGATTAATTTTCAAATTATATCGATTTTTCAATCAATTTGGTCCTGTTTCAGTTTTAAATCACTAATTGGCAGTTAATAATTGGTATATCCGCCATTATTTTGTAGAATTTTCTCCATTCGTCTTGGCATGGACAATATTAACTTGCGACAAGTTTCAACTAGGATGTTGTACCAAGTTTTTTGGACAATATCCTTAAGTTGACCGATATTTTGGCAAAAAGTCCTTCCAACTTCTCTTCTAAGTTCACCCCAGAGATTCTCAATGGGATTGAGATCCGGGGATTGACTTGGCCACTCAAGAACATCCACCTTTTGCTCCCGGAACCAATCCTTTACAACTCGCGATGAGTGTTTCGGGTCATTATCCTTTTGGAACTTCCATAAAAGTGGCATATTATCCTCGGCATATGGTAGCATTACTGTCTCCAATAAGTTTTTATAAACGAATCTATCCATGATTCCGTCGATTCGATGAATCGGACCAACACCATCCCAAGAAAAGCAGCCCCATACCATTAAGCTACCACCTCCATGTTTCACGGTTTTACATGTGTACCTGGCGTCAAATTTTTTGCCTTTAGGACGACGAACATTCCTTTTAGGGCCATTACCAAACAAATTATTTTGGTTTCGTCACTCCAAAGGATATTATGCCATTTTTTCTCACCCTGCGGGCCGCACCAGGTCTTATGATCTAATGCAAACTTTTGCCTCATTTGTAAATTTGCCGTCCGGAGCAAAGGAACTCTTCGGGCAATCCTACCTGGTAGGTTTGATGTAATGCTACCATATGCCGAGGATAATATGCCACTTTTATGGAAGTTCCAAAAGGATAATGACCCGAAACACTCATCGCGAGTTGTAAAGGATTGGTTCCGGGAGCAAAAGGTGGATGTTCTTGAGTGGCCAAGTCAATCCCCGGATCTCAATCCCATTGAGAATCTCTGGGGTGAACTTAGAAGAGAAGTTGGAAGGACTTTTTGCCAAAATATCGGTCAACTTAAGGATATTGTCCAAAAAACTTGGTACAACATCCTAGTTGAAACTTGTCGCAAGTTAATATTGTCCATGCCAAGACGAATGGAGAAAATTCTACAAAATAATGGCGGATATACCAATTATTGACTGCCAATTAGTGATTTAAAACTGAAACAGGACCAAATTGATTGAAAAATCGATATAATTTGAAAATTAATCATCCTACACCTATTATTTTGTCCAGGCAAAATTTGTGAATTTAACTATAAAATGGTTTTTCTTTTTTATTAGAGAGTTTGTATAGCTGTTTTTAGTTTGTAAATGTAGACAAATATTATGAGTTATGAAAAAAACTTGATTTGTTAAGATTTATAAAGCAATAAATTAGAAATTAAACGTTAACAAAGAAAAAAAAACTCACACCTATTATTTTGTCCATATGTGTATATGATATAGTGGTTTGATCCATTCCAACTACTCGGCTGTTGATGCTGATCAACAGTACTGTATAGGAGTCACTCCTCCTCCATTACTGCTTTGCAAACGTCTGACTAAAACTACAACACTCCTCAAGGGTGTAACAAATAAATATTAGTGTAAAACGGTAACTGCAAAAATGTCTCTGTCGGATTCTGTCAATTAGAAACTCTAATTTAGAACTAACTCAAAAAATATAAATAAAATACAAAATTTTATATAATTAATATTAATACTATGTTTTTAAATAGCCTGTACTAATCATTTTGTTTATAACTTTTTAAAATTCAGCAGGAATTTCATTTTTTTTAGAGAATATACAAAAAAAGGTTAAAGTTAAAATTAGCTTAACTTTTTTAAAAATCTTTTTATGCAGCACTAAAATGTTTACTATTGAATTATTATCAGAATACAGTAACAGAATACTATATGAAACTAGTCTGAGCAGACAGCTATAAATCATGTACATAATATGTATGTACTACATACATACATACATATGTGCAAAGAAATCTTTTGGCATTGCATTGCACTACTGTTTTCATTAGGACATTGTTTTTTTATCTTTGTTTGCTCTTGCATTAGGTAAAAATTCATTTGTACAGACGCATTCCGTATCAAATGTTTTACGTATCTTAATATTTGTGTTCTCGCACAACTTTAATTCAATTTGTAATTGGACGCATCAAAACACAATTGCAACATTATGCCGCTATTGCGCTTATGCCGTGCTGGGTCTCCGGAGTTCGAAATCAATTGTGCAAATGAATTTATTTACTAAATACAAGTCACTTTACTTACTGATTAATATTTTTCATAAATTGAATTGAATTGTCCAAAGTTGAGAGTAATATAAGTAAGAACCAAAACAAAAACAGATCGTGGGAACGCTAGAGCTGAACAAAAATGTATGGTACTATCGATGTTTTTCCATCGATAACGATATTATCGGAAATATAATTGGTATTTGGTTTTATTTTCTAATAGCCTCAGGGATATTAATTTTCACATCCTATATAATAATTAATTACATTTTGATAGAGTTCCTTAACCACTGAATCACTGAAAATATGGCAATAGTTTTCTTTTATTTTTAACTGAAGACAGCCTAAATAAGACTTTTCCGCACATTATTGTTATTGGGAAATCCATAATTTTAATATGTGAAGGAACTGCAAGACAGAGCGAGAGGCAAATAGTTGAGAACAGCCTGTTATATAGACTTATTTTTCGCACCCCGCTCTGGAAATACTAAAAGTGTAAAAGTAATTTGCTAGCGCCATGCCATTTTCGAGTATGTAATTAAAACGTATATTAACCAGTTAATTCGAATAAGAATTTAATTTGGCTGATTTCTTTAACTGAACAAAATATTGGATAATTACAGAAAAATAATATGTTTTCGATGGTGAGGTTCTTATGCTGCCAAATTAATTAAATCCATTTTTTTTTGGTAATAATTATAAAATTTGTATGCATTAGTTTGTATTTAGTTGTCTACTTCAAGATTTTAATGGAGTGGCTGTCATAAGGCCATTACAATTTTCTTCATTAAAGCAGTATTTTATTATCGGTACAAAATTGGTATCTATTATATAGATCTATCGATTTTTGCTGTTAATGCTCTATCAATGCATTAAAACTTGCATTAGAGGTGCCATATATGTAGTGTCATAATACTATTATCAACAAAATAAGAAAGAATAAATATTTTTCTTCTCCAAAACTTGTTTAGCCTCTCGATACGGAACTTTAAGACGGAACTGAATTTTAAATATGTACATATTTAGCAAAGTCCTTTTCCATCCCTGGCCGCAATGTGACCATCTCTTGATGGACTTTGGTATTTCGTTCATTTTATTGAAAAGCCATACTCGGCTCAAATAACACAAATAAAAGATTTGTCACCTGAAGTTTTAGCTACAGATTCCAAATAAAGTTATAGAATCTTTTCAAAACTGGAATATCGGGTAGGGAAAGGATATCTTAGGCAGAGCTTCAATAAAAAATAACTTGGGAACTACAGCAAGTAACAATCAAAGGCGTGCAACGTGTGTATGTGTGTGGGCGCTGCGTAAGCCACAAAACGAACAAACGCCTCTAACATGGTGGGGATTATTGATGAGGCGCAGCTGTTTTATCCGCTCGGGACTCGCATCAAAATAGCTGAGAACTACGGCACCGTCCGATATGTAGGAGAGGTAAGGGATATTAAAAAGCCTCTGGCAGACCTTGTGCCTGATCCTCTGCATTTCTCTCTAGGTGAGCGGACATATGGGGACCTGGCTGGGCATCGAGTGGGACGATGGACTTCGCGGCAAGCACAATGGAGTCGTCAATGGCAAGCGCTACTTCCAGACGCAGATGCCCACAGCAGGCAGCTTTATAAGGCCGGGCAAGGTTGGGCCATGTGCAACCTTGGAGGACGCTGCCCGCGAGAGGTACCTGAACTACGACTCAAGCAACGTGGATGAGTCGCTTATCCGGGAGGCGCAGGCTAGCCTGCAGGCATCCCTTTTCGAGGTCGTGGGCATGGACAAGATCGCACGAAAGCAAAGCAAGTTTGAGCAGCTGTCTGAGGTGAGCGTTGAAAAGACGCCTGTAAATGCGGCCGGATACTTACAGGGCTTGACCCAGCTGACTACGCTAAACGTAAGCCACACTTTGATCTGGAACTGGGAGATTGTGGCCAGCATAACTCAGCAACTGCCCTCGCTCACTAGCCTAAATCTGAGGTAAGTGCAGCTGCAATAATTCAAATCTCCCACTGACATCTCACTTACTTTTCAGTTCCAACCGTTTGGTACAGCCAACCGTAACCCAAATTGCTGAGCTGCAGCCGTCTTTTCGTCACCTTAAGCGCATAAATTTACGCAACTGTGGATTCTCCGACTGGAACGATGTGATGCATACCGCGCTGCTCTGGCCGGATATTTTATCGCTAGGACTGCAGGAAAACTCCTTCAGTCAGTTGGCCGTTGTCGATCGCCAGAGCATTTTTAGGCAGCTCCAGGAGCTCGACTTGCACCGCACGAATATAATGGATTTTGACCAGGTGCTCAAGCTAGGAAACCTCATGACACTACGCTTATTAAACCTCATGGAAAACGGTATCGAGGAAATCAAGTTGCCTGACTGTGATCCGCTTGCAAAGCTGAATATATTTGTTTCGCTGGAGCAGCTGAACCTTCTCCACAATCCCATTTGGAATGAGGTAAGCTAGGGCAGCAATCTGTAAGCACACAACTTAACCGTAAACGCCTCTCGCACAGGCTGACGTGTTCAACGAGCTGGACAAGCTTCCGCAGCTAAAACGCCTGAACAAGACCCCGCATTTGAAGTCAAATTTCTATGAAATGTTCTCCAAGGCTGTGGCGAGCATAGGTGGACTTCAGTTCATCAATAAGGCCGAAGTGACGGCGGAAGAGAGGCGCGGAGCTGAGTATGACATTTGGAAGAAATATGCAATGGATTGGATGCAGGCGACTCATCAAGGAGCGGATGCCTTACGCGAGTTTTGCAGAAGGCATCGCACTTATGCGTCGCTGGTTAAAAGTAAGTCTTACTGTCTGCATATGTACCATACATTTAAAACGCATCTGTCCCACAGAGTACGGTTCTCCGGCTGATTTTGTGCCGCGTGCTCAAGCTAAGCAATCGAATTTGATAAAGGTGTGCATACGGCATCAGAAATCGGGAGAGATCTGGGATAAGAAAGTGCCGCGAATGATTACAGTGCAAACCCTGCAAGGATTAGTCATGAAGCGGTTTGGCCTTAGTGGAACCGTTCCCCAGCTGTCTTACGTTGATGCCAAGCATCCGAGTCTGGTGGTTCCGTTGGACAACATGGCGAAGACCCTAGACTTTTACTCAGTGCAGGAGCACGACACAGTTTTAGTTCAGTGATTGTAACAGCTCCCCAGTTTAACGTGGCGTCCACATTCTCAATTTCGTATTCCGTATATTTCGTATTGTTAGTTTAAGGCATTCGATAAAGAATCAAAATTGTATTTTCACATCGGACGACCGTATAATGTTAAATTACTAATGTTATCTTTAGGCATTGATAAGTTGAATTTACCACTAAGCAGTTACACACGATATTTTATTTATTTTTGCTTTTTCAAAAAGTAAACCGTTGCTTAACCCCTAAAAGCTCTTTTATTTGGAATTGGCCCATCAGAAAACAAGCTACATTCGTAGTAGGTGTGCTTGTTTGTTTAAAAAGAAAATTTAAGCATAGTACTAACATAAGATACATTTTCTGACAACAGCAAAATTCCATATAAAAACACTGAGCGAAGAGAGGAAGAAGAACTTTCTGACTTTTCGCATTCGCGGGTACTAACATAAGATAAAGTTTGCGATCACAAAAGCTAAAAGCGTTGCTAGATTAAAAAAATAACAGCTGGGATTTCGAATATGTGCGCGAGATAGACAGCGATTCTGCGTACAATGCTGGCAACTAGAAAGTGCACAAAATACTCTTTCTTGCTGCGGCCTTAAAACCTTCCTCATGCGAATTTGTCCCCAAGATTATAACATTTTACAATTCTCCAACATAATACCGCTAGACACAGTCTTGATGGACCTACGAGTCTGTCGCCCTTAAGACTTTTGTATGGAAAAATATGAGGTTTGGATTTATTTTTTGTGGGTAAGATCCCACAATAAAGGCTCCTCCTTTATTTAATCAATTAAATGCATTTTTATCTCGCCGGAATAAGCGAAAGATTACATTTTTTATATTTTTAACAGTCGCAGTCGAGAATTTATCCGAAAAAGAATATCTAACGCCTGTGTTCATTCTAGTATTTATCTTATCCGTCCTCCATACCGACTAGCAAGTTAACAGGCAATTGAAATCGTATAGCCATCTCCAAATTTTAGCTTTGCTCCGTACGTTACCATTATACAATTATACAGTTATAATTCTATCATGTACTTTACTTTACTAAATATCTTAATTGAGGTGACGAGTTCTAAGAACAAAAATAGAGCCTCGCTAAATTAGTGGGGTTCCGCCAAAAAATACTGAATTGACCAAAAGTGGGGAATTAATATATTTGGTATATACTTTTAAAAAGGCGTTTAGTACATTTTACCGGCCGATCTGTGGTCTCTCTGAATCTGATTTCGCAAGATGCGCTTTAATTTGTCTGCAAGCCTGAAGTTGGTAAATAACAGCCAATTCCACAAATTATGGTGTATAAACGTGCGTAGCTTCTCTGGCACTATCCAAACCGATGATTCCGTCAACCAAAGCACGCAACCTCCGCCTGCGAAAGCCGCGAGTGTAGCCGAAAATACCAGCACAGAGCAGCGCTCGCTCCACATTGCTGTTATTGGAGTGCCAAATGTTGGTAAAAGCACTTTCATCAACAACATTGTCAACCACAGAGTCTGCCCCACCTCTGCCAAGGTGCACACTACCCGCCAGTCGAATACCGCCATTTGTACCGCGGGCCAGACGCAGCTTGTCTTTTACGACACGCCCGGCTTGGTGACCCAGCGAGAAATTCGAAAGCACCACCTCGAGCAGAGTTTCAAGAGTGCCTATCGCCATGCAATACAGCATGCGGATGTCATTGCCGTTCTGCACGACGCCTCAAATGGCTGGACAAGGAAGGAGCTTCACCCTACGGTCCTGGACACGCTGAAGGCCTACACTCACCTGCCAAGCTTTCTTGTCCTGAACAAAATAGATGCCCTGAAGTCAAAGCGTGTGCTGCTGGACCTAATCAAGACCCTGACTAATGATAGTCTGACAAGCAGGCGTGGTGCCCAGGATGCTAGACAGGCATCAACTGCCACGGGGACTGATCACCCGGCTGGGGGCAACCGTCTGAACCAGCGTGAGACCAGCTGGAGCCATTTTAGCGACGTTTTTCTTGTTTCGGCCATGACGGGCACCGGTCTGAACGAGCTGCAGGACTATCTGGCGGGACAGGCCAAGTCAAGGCAGTGGAGATTCCCCTCCGATGTGCACACCGACGCCAGTCCAGAGGCGCTGATTGTGGAAAGCGTAAGGGCGCGCCTACTGGACTACTTGCCACAGGAGATTCCCTACAATCTAAAGTGCGAGCTTGAGTACTACAGTGTGGAGAAGCGTAAGCGTAGCACCTCCTTATATTCTTAATTGCTGGCTAACCCGTCCTTTCCTAACAGATGTTGTATACACCTCCGTACAGGTGCAGTGTCCCACCACGCGCATTGAGCGGTTAATCTGCGGCGAGGGCAATGGCAAGCTGCGCCAGATTACCGAACGAGTCACCTCGGACTTGGTGGAGATGTTCGGTCAGGCGGTGTCCCTCACCATTTCGACGGTGTCAAAGGGGAAGAAGAATACGCCCGAGGCTCAAAATTGATGCTTTACATGCTTTGTGTTGTTACATTTAGTTTAATATAGTGTTGCGTAAAACTACGAATTCACAAAAGTTTCAGATGTGCCACCAGTTTGTCTAGTTCGTCAGCAGGTGCGGGTCCGAGGCCGAGCACTGTAGCCGTTCCGGATTCTAGCTGCGTGCGTCCGGCGTCCCGCACCATGGCGGCCACTACGTTTGACTCTTGGGCACGTTGCTCGAGGCTGCTGAGCTGCTCATAGTTGTCTACGCGCAACACGATCTTGGGCTGCCCTAGGCGGCACCAACGCTGTAAGATGGCGTTCTGCAGCTTGGTGCCTTGGACTGCGCTCTGGTAGCACATAACCGCTGCGTGGGCACACTGGGCCGCCGTTTTGCCCTTCGACATCTTAACGTCTGCGCGTACCACAAGAGCCAGCTTCGTGGACCTTTCGAAGGCGACGCTGTTTTTGAGGAACTTCTGCAGAATGCTACTTGACGTGGGCATACTTCTGGGTCTGCTGCTCCACGTACTTCTGCATGCACGCCCGAAACTCTTTCACTTTGTCCTGGCACGCCCGCCAGTCACCGGTCTCGGCAATACACTCCTGGACCTTGTAGTGGAGCTCTATGCAGCCCGTCTTCTTAAGCATCAATTCAACTTGGTCCTGATCCGACGCAGCGGACATTTTCCTCAGAAATTGGCTGGCCGAAGTTGCATCAGGTGCTGGGTTCGAATTATGAAATTCAGTAAGATGTGGCCGTTGTCTTGATTGTTTTGGGATTTCTAACAATATACTAAAACCAAAATGTCACTTAAATGAGTGAAAATAGGTACGGAGCAGAGCTAAATTTGTCGGCGAGAGAATATATACTGTACATATACTAAAAGCAGCAGCAGGGCGTTAGGTATTTTTAGTCGTTTTAATTTTTGAATAGGGCTGTCGAAGAAGTCTAGCACGGAGCAGACCTACAATTTTACCCGGCTAAAACTCCCTCTATCTTAAGCCTAGTACTCTGGCGAGAAAAATCCGCTGTAAAAATTTAGACAGCGGCCAAACTCCATAAAATATTCATTTCATTTATTTAGACACCCCTAATGGAGGGAAAGTTGAAGGAAAAAGGTGGCATTGATAGGGGCTGTCAAGGGGAAGCCCATAATATGGAATTTAACCCACAAAGGACATTTTAATGCCATATTTATTAATATTTTTAATATTTTTTTTGAATATTTGTTTACAAACAGCTGTCCAGTGTGACCAAGGAAAATCCTTAAACGCCATAAAAAGTACATTTTCATGGAATTTCAGGAGTTTCCTTAATTTTTTTTGGTCACACTAGCTCGGTAGAGAAATAAACAGCGATTCCGCTGTCTAATTTAGACAGCGGGTTTTTCTCGTCAGAGTACTAGGCTTAAGAAAACGGTGACGAAAAAAGAAGAAGAAGAACTTTTAGCCACGTCGTTTTTTCCGGTACTCTGACGACGATAATGAAGCCTGCGAAAATTGAATGGCGTTGCCAGATCAAGATAGTAAACAGCTGATATCGCGCTGTCTAAATAATTCATTTGATTTATTTAGACACCCCTAATGGAGGGAAAGTTGAAGGAAAAAGGTGGCATTGATAGGGGCTGTCAAGGGGAACCCCATAATATGGAATTTAACCCACAAAGGACATTTTAATGCCATATTTATTAATATTTTTAGTATTTTTTTTTAAATATTTGTTTACAAACAGCTGTCCAATGTGACCAAAGAAAATCCTTAAACGTCATAAAAAGTACATTTTCATGGCATTTCAAGATTTTCCTTAATTTTTTTTTGTCACACTAGCTCGGTAGCGAAATAAACAGCGATTCCGCTGTCTAATTTAGACAGCGGATTTTTCTCGTCAGAGTACTAGGCTTTAATTTAGACAGTGGATTTACGAAAAAAGTGTATTCGAATTTAAGGCAGGCACTGTAAAATTAAGAAAAGACACCATAAATACAATTTTTGTAAGGTTATTTTTCCTATTTTTCTATATTTTCTTTAAATTTAGAGTACGGTTTTCTGATTTGCTTTGACATTTTTATAAACCTACTAGTAAGCCCGGCGAACTCCGTTACGCCACCTTCGGCAAATTATCCGTTTAATTAAGGTGCTCTTTGGAATTATCTAGGGACCAAATAGCCCCTGGGATGTTAAAATCACCAAGAACTACTAATTAAGTGGTCCCTATCCGAAATTCTTTTAGAGACCAACTTAATAGCGGAAATATGGTGACGTACTTGCACAAATATTTGATTGATTTGGCCGAATGACAACTCTCAACATTTGCATGTGTTTCGAAAATATGGTACAATAAATTCATTTCCGATCTCAATCTCTTGATTTTGAACTTTAACTATGATAGTTCGACCATTTTCCTCTTTTGAACGCCGACGATAAACTGGATATTCATCGTTCCCTGTGACTGTTGCAGTAACTAACGGTCGCGGATATCGTTTTGTGCATTTTCCATCAGCCATGCAAGGCGATAATGGATTTAATGCACCGCAGGGTCCATGCACCATCTGTGTCGTCACAATGTCGTGTAGATGGGGATCGGTGACTGGATCAGGAATTTCAGCTGATATGATGTCATCCACTTCATCTGAATGTAATTTGTTCAGCAACCAAATTAGGATATGAGCATGCGGTAGTCCACGCTTCTGCCATTCCACCGAGTACATATAACAACGTGTGTCACCAAAAACTCGATACTTAGTAAGCACATCCATCATAACCTTGAGTTTTTGGTGAAATACTCTGGCGATTATGTCATGGCGATCCTGCGGTTTTTGGCCCGGTTCCAACTCACGTTCAATTTCCGTCCACTTCGGATTGCATGTAAGCGTAATAAATAAATCTGGAGTTCCATAATTTCGCACGTACGTCATAGCGTCTTGAGCGTATTAATGCCTGTGGCGTGGGCTTTCGATATAAGATGATGGAAGAATCGTCAGACGTCAAATATTTTGAACATCACCATCTGAATGAATAGCATCACGCAAGTGTATATAGTCCTCAGATCGTAACTTTGCCTGATTGAATCGGATGAACGCTAAACGTTCGGTCTCGACTTTGACATACATGTCGACAGCGAATTGCTGAAACAGCCGACGGCACTTTAGAATGACATTCTCCTCATTTGTACGAATCATCATACGATACGCATAGTAATTCATTGCGCTTATTTTTTTCTTCATTGATACGCATGAAAATGCACAATTAAATGAATTGTTAATGGAAACCAATAACAATAATTTAAATAATTACTAGAATATTGTACCTGTAATTGGATCGACCATCTTCAACGTAATGTCGTATCCTTCTTGCCCTTGCCAATAAATGATTGGATATTGTAACGGATCGTACAAACGGTGTGTCTCGTTTACTCAATGCATGATATTGCTTCTTCGCTGAACCACAATGTCTCGCGATTTTTGGATCGCCAACAATAATTGCAGCAACATCATTAACGGTGGGTGCATTGAATCTTCGCACATGTTCACCTGCTGGGCTACAATCCGCTCTTATGACAAATTTGTGCGTATCCGATGGCATTCGTTCCAATGCCGATTTGAACATATTAACCACAGCATTATTAGCGTGAAAAAATGCTTGCAACTGTTCAATAATTCGTCTCTTTAAGTGTCCTGTTCCCTGAATGTTGCAACGCACATTCAGCTGATCCACCATCGACGAAATGAAATATATTTGCAGAAATTGATGCGGTTCCTCTGTTGTTGGCACCAATGAACCATGCAAATGATATATGTATTTGCCCTTGTATCTGTAATTGCAAACAATCATTTGTTGAAGAATCGTGTGATGGTGTAGTCCGTAGAGTATATGTTGTTATTATGTTGCAATTCTTTTTGTTTGTCTAAGTGATTGTAACTTTTACCTTGCAAGTCGGCATGAATGATATTAGCTCCAAAGGAAGTCATGCGAAAGCAGTTATTATATTCAAGGATGTGTTGAAGAAAATGGCTGGAATCTGGATCACTTCCATCGAACAATGCTTTCAGTGGCTGTGGTGGTGTAAGTAATGGATCCAGTTTGACTTTTCCACTTGCGCAGCACAATCCAGCAGTTTCTCTTTTAAACTTTAACGCATTGCAATATCGGCATATAGTGTCAGGTCCAATATCTAATTTTCTATCATCTCTGTAGTTCGCAGAGGGATCATATTGAAATGCCAAGCGATTGTATGATGCCAATGATCTTCGTGTGCTCACGCTTCGTCTTAATCGGTCATATTCTCTTCATTCATTTCGTCTCTCCTCGCTTAAGTTCTGTGAATACACTTGTTGCTGGATTGCATGCCTTGTGCGGAGACCGATGTTCACACGTCGTGCTATAGGCATTTTCGACTATAGGCAGAGCGGTTAATTTAACCTCTAATCCACATAATTTACACAGTTCAACTTACCACCCTAAATACAAATGCTGGTTTCCAATTGCACTGATATGAAACGAATAACTTATTTTTCTCAAAATGGAACACAATTTCGGTTTATCATAAAATAAACTGAGTAGAGAATTATGGCATGCTCTGTGTCAGTGTTGGCGCTTTATGCAAAAATGATTTTCCCGCTTTCTGTTGCAATTTTTCCTAAATTTTCTTTACTGCAAAAAATCACAAATTCCGAGACCTTTCCAACGAATGCAAATTAATTAATAATTATAAATGTTTTACGTACGTATTTATTTTCTCATTAACGTGTTTTGTAGTGAATGGCCAATCACGCTGTGAACGCCCGCATGACCTCCTCGTCGGTGACGGTGGTTCTTTTAAATGTTAAATATAAAATATTCAGGCCTGCTCCGGTAATCGAAAACGGCAAGAATTTTTCGTTTTCGTTTTTGAAAACGAGAAATTGGCGCTCCGGTAATCGAAAACGAAAGATTCTTTCGATTTGAAAAACGGGCACCTTTTTCTGGCCGGAATGAAAAGTAAATGGCTTTTTCTATATGAAATCAGACCTTATTTACAAAAGGAAAAAATGTTTATTCCATTATTTATGTTTATTATTTATTATGTTTATTCCACAACACCATAAGATCATTCTGGCACGTAGTTATTTTATAAAAAATTTATTTCTGACCCCTCCTCAGATTTGACAGCAAAATTTTTGCCGTGTTTACCCAGTTTTCTCGTTTTGGCGATAGGTCGATAAGTTCACCGCAAAAAGCTATCGCCAAGGTTGCCATATTGTTGGTGGAACGAAACAGCCAGTTAAAAATACTTATAAAATATAAATGAATACATTAATAACATTAAAGAACCGCCAAAATGGTTGTTTATAATTAATACTATTTAATGTGATTACTTAAATGGTCCAAATTAACCAAATAATTATTTGAGACCACCGGAATTAAAACTGTGAAAAGTGTGGCAGCATCTTAGGTGCCTGGATTTGCTTAATTCTACCATTTTTTGCCTTTTTCTGGCTTAGATAAAGGGCAATTGTAAATATAATAGGCAGTACTTTACGTTGTTTGCTTATTACCAACAACACAAGTTATCTGCTTGAGCAGTGAGAAACGATGAGAAAACGAAACATCCGATAGCAGAAATTTGCCGAAAACCGGAGCAACTAAAAACGAAAACGGTTCGTTTTCGCCCAAAACGAAATCGAAAAAATTTTACGATTACCGGAGCAGGCCTGATTATGTCGCCTTAATAATTTTAACGAAGTAATATTTAATATTTATGTAATCATTAACATCCCCGTCGCACAGTAGCGCCTTTTCTCATTTTACGTTGCAAAAATCATAACTTTTGAACAAAATAAGATAACTAAATAATTTAAACG